TATCCTTAGTTATTGTTCCTATCCGTCTTATGGACATCCCCTATATATCCTTAGTCATTGTTCCTCTCCGCTAATGGACATCCCCTATATATCCTTAGTTATTGTTCCTATCCGGCTAATGGACATCCCCTATATATCCGTAGTTATTGTTCCTATCCGTCTAATGGACATCCCCCATATATCATTAGTTATTGTTCTTCTCCGCTAATGGACATCCCCTATATATCTTAAGTTATTGTTCCTATCCGGCTAATTGACATCCCCTATATATCCTTAGTTATTGTTCCTATCCGCCTAATGGACATTCCCTATATATCCTTAGTTATTGTTCCTATCCGTCTAATGGACATCCCCTATATATCCTTAGTTATTGTTCCTATCCGCCTAATGGACATCCCCTATATATCCTCAGTTATTGTCTCTATCCGCCTAATCGACATCCCTTATATATCCTTAATTATTGTTCCTATCCGTTTAATGGACATCTCCTATATATCCTTAGTTATTGTTCCTATCCGTCTAATGGACATCCCCTATATATCCTTAGTTATTGTTCCTATCCGTCTAATGGACATCCCCTATATATCCTTAGTTATTGTTCCTATCCGTCTAATGGACATCCCCTATATATCCTTAGTTATTGTTCCTATCCGTCTAATGGACATCCCCTATATATCCTTAGTTATTGTTCCTATATCCGTTATTGTTCCTAATGGACATCCCCTATATATCCTTAGTTATTGTTCCTATCCGTCTAATGGACATCCCCTATATATCCTTAGTTATTGTTCCTATCCGTCTAATGGACATCCCCTATATATCCTTAGTTATTGTTCCTATCCGCCAAATGGACATCCCCTATATATCCTTAGTTATTGTTCATCCCCTATATATCCTTAGTTATCGATCCTATCCGCCTAATGGACATCCCCTATATATCCTTAGTTATTGTTCCTATCCGTCTAATGGACATCACCCATATATCCTTAGTTATTGTTCCTATCCGTCTAATGGACAACCCCTATATATCCTTAGTTAATGGACATCCCCTATATATCCTTAATTATTGTTCCTATCCATCTAATCGACATCCCCTTAATATCCTTAGTTATTGTTCCTATTCGCTTAATGGACATCCCCTATCTATCCTTAGTTATTGTTCCTATCCGTCTAATGGACATCCCCTATATATCCTTAGTTATTGTTCCTATCCGTCTAATGGACATCCCCTATATATCCTTAGTTATTGTTCCTATCCGTCTAATGGACATCCCCTATATATCCTTAGTTATTGTTCCTATCCGTCTAATGGACATCCCCTATATATCCTTAGTTATTGTTCCTATCCGTCTAATGGACATTCCCTATATATCCTTAGTTATTGTTCCTATCCGCCTAATGGACATCACCTATATATCCTTAGTTATTGTTCCTATCCGGCTAATGGACATCACCGATATATCCTTAGTTATTGTTCCTATCCGGCTAATGGACATCACCGATATATCCTTAGTTATTGTTCCTATCCGGCTAATGGACATTCCCTATATATACTTAGTTATTGTTTCTATTTTTTCTCATTTTTTATGCACTGATCTTTAGTTGACCGCAATTGCACTGCTTCTTACACCAATTCCTGTATCCCCATTAACACCAGAAAATGACAAATAATGTTCGCATATAAGACCGAAAGTTTCTTTTTTGGTGAAGTTATTGACTTATTTTAAATTTTACAGTAATTGCTTAAACCATATTAACTTATTGATGGAGAGACGATCGAAGGTAGCATATGAGTGCATGATGCAATATTTTTCATGTTTGATGAAATTTCATTTAAAAAAAAAACTAGTAAATGATAACTAATTCAAAAGTGTATCAAATACTTTCACGTTACTGCGTCTTGATGCCTACCTGTTCGTTACTCTCAATGCAGTACATGTGACCGTAGTCATGTTTGTTTATCTCAGAGGCTTACGATGGAATTGACTAGATGCGCGAAGGTTGTTATCATTATACCTTTCTATGACAAATAAACAATCAATTAATTATCTTGAAAACATGCGTGAAATATATATAGTTCAAACTCCCTTAACCTTATCTGACGGATTCACACGTTAACCGAGGTAGGTGCCCTGACAGCTATGAAATTTATATCCTCATGCACTGGCTAACAAGACAGCTTATAACTGAAAAATAACTGAAACATCAATTAGATTCCCACTTAGCTTTCCGGTCACTACATCTCCATCTTAACAATGTTACCTTTTTTCATATCTTTTAAGAAATGGTAGGTGAACACGCCCGGGTGTTGAAATAAACGATATCTTGCGATAAGATATAAGAATACTATCATGCATAAATTCATGCAAAAATAAGAAATAAAATGAATACTTCAACGAATATCTAAGTGGCTAAAATGCAATCAATGATAGGCTTAAAACGTTTTCAACGAGAGGAAAAGTCGGTCCATATCAATCTTTGACAGTTATTACTAATCAAAATTCAATAGCGCCCATCGTGAACTCCCCAAGGAACAAAAGAATATGCAAAATATCTACTTACACTTCGTATCGAAATTCAAAAGTCTTTTCGATGTATAAAATTGTACATTTGTTCTTATTTCTATGTCATTTAAATGGTCGGTTGCATCAATCAATGACGTAAACACTCTTGCATCAGAGCACATTTTGACTGCAGATTCTTCCCATTCCTCAATACTAGCAGACGACCATGCAACTTATGATTCCTCAATCGCACTTAACAGTTTTTGATTTTTTTTTCTTAGTCCGTCTTTATTTACATCGGTACTGAGTTGATCAATGGTAATTTCAAGATGTCATCAGACCACGCCCCCGTACAAGTGGACATGTATATGCTTTTCACTGGCCGAGAGCGCTCACACATATTTACCGTTGAAATAATTGCTTACATGCTTGTTTTTAGAGAAAGTTGAGAAAAATTTAACAAATAATTTAAATTCGGGATTTTTTTCTGTTGAGTGGTTCAGAGCGGTTATTGCTCAAGATTACAAGAAGGGTGACAAGTCCAGTTCAAATAATTTCCGAGGTATAAGTTTAATGAGCTGTCTTTGCAAATCATACATTTACATCTAAACTGAATTCTGGACGGAGTACAATTGATGTTGTTTATGCTTTTAGTTTTATTACTACAATTTTTTTCGGTAACAACAAACTTTTATATGCAACTGTTTCGTTGATTTCCAAAAAAATGTTTGACCGTGTTGATCGTATCAATCAGTGGATTAAACTAAGAAAGTTAGGAATACTAGGAAAACTTTTAAATTCGACTAAGTCTTCGTATTAAAAGTGAAATCATGTGTAAACCTTAAAGGAGACCACTCTTTTATTCTGTAACGAGGTTCGGTCTCTTCCAGGTGTAAATTCTGTCATCGATACTTTCTTCGTATTTCAACGATTCTGAAACACTTCTATAACACATTGAGACTCGCATTATGGGTTTCAAGACTTCAGTCTATTCCTTTTGTTTTATGCTGACGATATCGTATTATTTCAGAGACTGTTCAGGGATTACCAGATCTGTTCAATAATGTAGAAAGATAATATAAAAGATGGGAGCTCGCTGAGAATATTGAAAATACGAAAGTTTGTGTTAATAAATTTACATATTTAGGGATAAACTTAAGATTTGATAACAAATTTAACAATGTTTAAACCCGCTTTCTAACCAAGGTAGAAAAGCACTGCATGTTTGCAATGTTTACAAAATGTAGAAATGTGAGCTTCAATATTGAGAATATACTCCGCCGTTTGATAGGTGTGTTGGCATCATTTGTAACGATAGATGATAGAAATTGGGATCACCAAAAGCAAATGATATTGAAAAGGTTCGTACACATTTCTTATGATATATTGTAAACTAGATCAGTTTCCACTTGAATGTTACGGGAATTTTGGGAATAACTAGATATCTGTTTTAGTTACTTACGTCAGGAAATTGTATTTTGAATCGTGCATATGACTTTTTTAGATATGGAAATACGAGAAATCATATGGTGTCAAATGTGTTAATTTTGTAAAGAAAAAAAAGAAATGTTTTTTGTTTCATTTGGTTTCGGATATGTATTGGAAAGAGAACCAATGTATGACAAATTTTACCAAGATATAACTATTTACTTTTTACTAAGGTTGAAAACATCTAAACACCTTACTGATAATATTACTTTACCATGTTAATTAACTAAGTATATCAGTCACTAAAATGTAGAATTCTTATAACTAAAATACGTGAACCTGTGCCGTGATTGTTTTTTAGTTGAATTTGGTCGATACAATAGTACTCCAAGGGCTAGATGATTCTGTAATATATGCATTACGATTCTTTCCGTTTAAATTCTTGAATTAATACGTATAAGATCTAAGGAAAAAAGAACATAAAAAATACTATTGGAAAAAAAGTAATTGTGAAGACGGTGTCATTCTGTGAGGAAATATTTACCTGAAGGTAATCAATTAAGAAATAACGAACCAATTGTATGATAAATTTGCATCTCATTCTCTATGTGTTTTGTATACGCCGTGATGTAAATTCTGATCTCACCATACTACCCTACCTGATCTCCTCATACTGCGGTCACTGATAATTGATCAGTTAGCAGACGACCGCGCGACCCAAGCTGATTCCTCAGTCGTACTGAACTTTATATTTGTTATTTGATCTTTTCTTGAAATTTACAATGATTAGTATTCATATCTGAACCTTTTCTATTAGAAAATATAGATAACAAAGCATCCATATCTATTTATAGGTCATTTGATATGACACGAGAAATAGGATAAAGTAGTCGATAAATATAGGATTTTAGTGGGTAACATTCCGATCCATTAGACGTATGAGATTTTCGGGCATCGGAAAGGGATGGTAGAAAATTACTCGGAAGTTTTCTGACATTATAGTAAAAGCCTTGGATGTGTAGTTACGGCGAAAGCGTAGTGACAGTTTTACAACAGGTGGAGTTATACGACAATGGCCGAATGTCAGTGATCAATCATTTATCACTTTGGACAGACCTGATACTGAAATCCTGAACTGTAATTAACACTTTCAACAGGTGTGTACGTGAGAGCACCAAGCAACAAATATGACTGACAGAACAGCAGATTCAGATTCGACGGAATCACTTGAAGACGTCATTGAAATTCGTCCGCTGCCGAGGCGAAACATAGTGGAGTTGCAGGATATTGAGTCAGAAGCCGAGCAGCTAGCATTCCGTGAATTTAATGAACCAGACCTAATGCAAGGTACTGGGGTATTCCGAAGGACAGGGAGACTCTCCCAGCATAGAAAGGTAAACAACCTGAGAACTAATTGACAGTTTAATAAAAAATGGAATGTAGTAATTTCTGAATCCAACATAAGATAATAACGATTAATAATATAAAAACAGTCATGCATGTCATTTCCAATGATACAGAAAAAAGGAAATGTACCTTGATGAATGGGACATATATAGATGAAGATCACAGTGGTTTGTCCTCCCTTGGTCAGCTCTATTACAATGGTATTTCCTCCCTCTGCCTGCATGCTTTTTTCCTTCTTGATTCTAATATTCTTTTGGACTGTTGACTTTTTAGGTGCTCCCAACACTTGCCTTCCAACGGCCACACCAATATGGAATGTCGCAGTGTATATTTACATCCTGCCCAGCATCCCCTCCTTATGACACGTACCCCACTCCCCACTTCCCAGACATTGTTTTCAACTCACCTATACACAAGTACCTGTATGTATTCTGAAAGTTACACAGGTTTGTGAAATGATAAGAATAGACATACAAAGTGACTTTAACTTTATGGTATGATAAAGTAATATTTATGGACTTCATTAGGCTACCATGAATTAGGGTACCCTAATGTACACAATGTTCAAATAAAGGAAATTTTCAGAGCGATCCCTAATATCATGTTTGCCCTCCCTCATTGGCTATAGCATTATGCATGGTATGGAGTTCATAAGGACATTGACCGTCTGTAGAGAAATGTTGTTCAATTCCTCAGTAAGTGCATTGGTGAATTGGCGAGGGTTATTTGGGATTTTTGCTTGGTATCAAACTCTTCTGTTTTATTCATCCCACAAGTGTACAATTGAGGACAAACCTGGGCTACATGGAAGCCAATTTATAGGGACAAAGCTCTGGGTTGCAAGAAAGCAAAAAGCACAACGTGAGGCCTCGTAATCTCATTTTAATATAAAGTTGTAAACCATAACAGGTCCACCCCTAAATCTGTCATACTTCAAAACACAAGCATTTGCAAGAAGCTTTCCTCGATGCCAGTACACACAATTACAGCAGTATGATCAAAATGTCTTGAATTGTAAATCATCCGTGAAGAGCAAGGACCTCCAATGTCTCATTTAGAAATGTCTGGGCACATTTGACGTCAACAATTGCATACTTCATGTTTGACGTTGAGGTATCGGTGGCAACCAATGTACAAACGAGGTGGATGTAAATTTGCCTCTGACAGTTTTTTGGGTGGATTCGACGGTTTCCATTAAAAGTGGTATATTGTGCCATTTTGGTTGCTGTTAATCACATCATGGGAGTGGGCAACCTAATGAACTGATCTTGACATCATGTTGCTACACATGACATCTCGATCTCAGTCCGTCATCAACTCTGCCCGTGGTGTTGAAACATGAAACAAACTGACTTAAAGGTGAATTGTGAACTCCGAAGTGATTAGTGACATGTTGTTCAGTGCTACCTCCTATGAGCATTGCATAAGCCCATCCTCCGTCAAGATAGGACAGCCATGGGATTTTTGTAAAAAGAATTTCTGATTGCAGATATGTTAAAGAACAGGTGATAGTCAGAAATTTATAATAATTTGGATAAAAAAAAAATGCACCAGATGTGGATAGCCTTTTTGTCTTTTTAACATTTATTTGGGGGTTAGGTAAGGTTTCCCCTTACTTTTTGTATGGCTATATATATTCAATACAAAATAATGTGCGAACAAAGAAGTTGTGTTTCTGTATCCTTTCATTATATATTGTAATAATTTGGGTTGGACTTCTTGATTAAAATATTGTCAAGGAATACATTTATGAAGATATGGATGCAAATCACATAATAGACAATATGGTGGGTTATAAGCAGTTGCCGAATTTCTCGGCAAGGTGATTTTAAGCTGTAGATCAATAGTTCACAGTCACATTAGACACAAGTCAAAAATTGTTTTCCTTTGTCAGTTGTGTTACCATGTTCAAATATAACTACGAGGATCTACCAGAAAGCCGTCCAGTCAATAAGCCGCCCATTTTAGGGGTTAAAAAAACCTTTAGAAACCTTTGTTTTCGTAAACTTTTGAAAGTATGTCAAATTTCCAGATGTTTTCAATAGCTTATTCTGTTTTTTAAGCTAGCATCATAATACATTGCCTATCTGTCTTGTTCACTGAGACTTGAAACATATAATTTTGTTGAAAAGGTGCTTTTCAAAAGAATGTTTGTCAACAGCACATGAGACATGAGGAATAAGGATGAGGCGTCTTACAGGTGATTTATTATTACAAGGTTAGAATGCATTAGGCTACAAAAGCAGGAAATAAAGGTGATATTTGAAATAATATGATATCATATCATTTGATTTGATTTTTTTTCTGAGTGTTTATTCGAAGCTTGGTAAGTAAAAATACATTTGTTATCAGTGCACAGTACACATTATAATTGTTTTTCAGAGTTAAACTTATTTCACATGAATTTTCTAAATTTACATTATCAAGACTATAATTTCAGCAACATGTTAAGTATCACAAATGAATAATATTTAGCTTATTGTTAAGGAATGTGACATTGTTTATCATATATTCAATTTTACAGTCTCAAGACTTACCAGTAACAACTCCCAGATTACACCAGGATCCATCACAGACAATACAGTTCCCCTCAGTGATTCCGCTAAATGTTGGTGGGGTCAAGTATGTAACTCGTCTGTCCACACTGTCTAAATATCCAGACTCAATGCTGGCAGCTCTATTCAGTGGCCGTCACACGGTTGACAAGGATCAAAAGAGGGCTTTGAAATGTGTGTTATATAAAATACATGATGTTGTTCAAATTAAAGACAAAAACAGAGGGCTTTGAAATGTGTGTTATATAAAATACATGATGTTGTTCAAATTAAAGACAAAAACAGAGGGCTTTGAAATGTGTGTTATATAAAATACATGATGTTGTTCAAATTAAAGACAAAAACAGAGGGCTTTGAAATGTGTGTTATATAAAATACATGATGTTGTTCAAATTAAAGACAAAAACAGAGAGCTATTGAAATGTGTGTTATATGAAATGTGTGTTATATAAAATACATGTTGTTGTTCAAATTAAAGACAAAAACAGAGAGCTTTGAAATGTGTGTTATATAAAATACATGATGTTGTTCAAATTAAAGACAAAAACAGAGAGCTTTGAAATGTGTGTTATATAAAATACATGATGTTCAAATTAAAGACAAAAACAGAGAGCTTTGAAATGTGTGTTATATAAAATACATGATGTTGTTCAAATTAAAGACAAAAACAGAGAGCTTTGAAATGTGTGTTATATAAAATACATGATGTTGTTCAAATTAAAGACAAAAACAGAGGGCTTTGAAATGTGTGTTATATAAAATACATGATGTTGTTCAAATTAAAGACAAAAACAGAGAGCTTTGAAATGTGTGTTATATAAAATACATGATGTTGTTCAAATTAAAGACAAAAACAGACGGCTTTGAAATGTGTGTTATATAAAATACACGATGTTGTTCAAAATAAAGACAAAAACAGAGGGCTTTGAAATGTGTGTATATAAAATACATGATGTTGTTCAAATTAAAAACAAAAACAGAGAGCTTTGAAATGTGTGTTATATAAAATACATGATGTTCAAATTAAAGACAAAAACAGAGGGCTTTGAAATGTGTGTTATATAAAATACATGATGTTGTTCAAATTAAAGACAAAAACAGAAGGCTTTGAAATGTGTGTTATATAAAATACATGATGTTCAAATTAAAGACAAAAACAGAGAGCTTTGAAATGTGTGTTATATAAAATACATGATGTTGTTCAAATTAAAGACAAAAACAGAGAGCTTTGAAATGTGTGTTATATAAAATACATGATGTTCAAATTAAAGACAAAAACAGAGAGCTTTGAAATGTGTGTTATATAAAATACATGATGTTCAAATTAAAGACAAAAACAGAGAGCTTTGAAATGTGTGTTATATAAAATACATGATGTTCAAATTAAAGACAAAAACAGAGAGCTTTGAAATGTGTGTTATATAAAATACATGATGTTGTTCAAATTAAAGACAAAAACAGAGGACTTTGAAATGTGTGTTATATAAAATACATAATGTTGTTCAAATTAAAGAACAAAAAACAGAGAGCTTTGAAATGTGTGTTATATAAAATACATGATGTTCAAATTAAAGACAAAAACAGAGAGCTTTGAAATGTGTGTTATATAAAATACATGATGATGTTCAAATTAAAGACAAAAACAGAGGGCTTTGAAATGTGTGTTATATAAAATACATGATGTTGTTCAAATTAAAGACAAAAACAGAGAGCTTTGAAATGTGTGTTATATAAAATACATGATGTTCTGTGTTATATAAAATACAAATTAAAGACAAAAACAGAGAGCTTTGAAATGTGTGTTATATAAAATACATGATGGTCAAATTAAAGACAAAAACAGAGAGCTTTGAAATGTGTGTTATATAAAATACATGATGTTCAAATTAAAGACAAAAACAGAGAGCTTTGAAATGTGTGTTATATAAAATACATGATGTTCAAATTAAAGACAAAAACAGAGAGCTTTGAAATGTGTGTTATATAAAATACATGATGTTGTTCAAATTAAAGACAAAAACAGAGAGCTTTGAAAGGTGTGTTATATAAAATACATGATGTTCAAATGTGTGTTATATAAAATACATGATGACAAAAAAGACAAAAACAGAGAGCTTTGAAATGTGTGTTATATAAAATACATGATGTTGTTCAAATTAAAGACAAAAACAGAGAGCTTTGAAATGTGTGTTATATAAAATACCTGATGATGTTCAAATTAAAGACAAATACAGAGAGCTTTGAAATGTGTGTTATATAAAATACATGAGGTTGTTCAAATTAAAGACAAAAACAGAGAGCTTTGAAATGTGTGTTATATAAAATACATGATGTTCAAATTAAAGACAAAAACGGAGGGCTTTGAAATGTGTGTTATATAAAATACATGCAAAAACAGAGAGCTTGATGTTGTTCAAATTAAAGACAAAAACAGAGAGCTTTGAAATGTGTGTTATATAAAATACATGATGTTGTTCAAATTAAAGACAAAAACAGAGGGCTTTGAAATGTGTGTTATATAAAATACATGATGTTGTTCAAATTAAAGACAAAAACAGAGAGCTTTGAAATGTGTGTTATATAAAATACATGATGTTGTTCAAATTAAAGACAAAAACAGAGGGCTTTGAAATGTGTGTTATATAAAATACATGATGTTGTTCAAATTAAAGACCAAAAAACAGGGCTTTCGAAATGTGTGTTATATAAAATACATGATGTTCAAATTAAAGACAAAAACAGAGAGCTTTGAAATGTGTGTTATATAAAATACATGATGTTGTTCAAATTAAAGACAAAAACAGAGGGCTTTGAAATGTGTGTTATATAAAATACATGATGTTCAAATTAAAGACAAAACAAGAGGGCTTTGAAATGTGTGTTATATAAAATACATGATGTTCAAATTAAAGACAAAAACAGAGAGCTTTGAAATGTGTGTTATATAAAATACATGATGTTGTTCAAATTAAAGACAAAAACAGAGAGCTTTGAAATGTGTGTTATATAAAATACATGATGTTCAAATTAAAGACAAAAACAGAGAGCTTTGAAATGTGTGTTATATAAAATACATGATGTTGTTCAAATTAAAGACAAAAACAGAGAGCTTTGAAATGTGTGTTATATAAAATACATGATGTTCAAATTAAAGACAAAAACAGAGAGCTTTGAAATGTGTGTTATATAAAATACATGATGTTCAAATTAAAGACAAAAACAGAGAGCTTTGAAATGTGTGTTATATAAAATACATGATGTTGTTCAAATTAAAGACAAAAACAGAGGGCTTTGAAATGTGTGTTATATAAAATACATGATGTTGTTCAAATTAAAGACAAAAACAGAGAGCTTTGAAATGTGTGTTATATAAAATACATGATGTTGTTCAAATTAAAGACAAAAACAGAGAGCTTTGAAATGTGTGTTATATAAAATACATGATGTTGTTCAAATTAAAGACCAAAAAACAGAGGGCTTTGAAATGTGTGTTATATAAAATACATGATGTTGTTCAAATTAAAGACAAAAACAGAGGGCTTTGAAATGTGTGTTATATAAAATACATGATGTTGTTCAAATTAAAGACAAAAACAGAGAGCTTTGAAATGTGTGTTATATAAAATACATGATGTTCAAATTAAAGACAAAAACAGAGAGCTTTGAAATGTGTGTTATATAAAATACATGATGTTGTTCAAATTAAAGACAAAAACAGAGAGCTTTGAAATGTGTGTTATATAAAATACATGATGTTGTTCAAATTAAAGACAAAAACAGAGAGCTTTGAAATGTGTGTTATATAAAATACATGATGTTGTTCAAATTAAAGACAAAAACAGAGAGCTTTGAAATGTGTGTTATATAAAATACATGATGTTGTTCAAATTAAAGACAAAAACAGAGAGCTTTGAAATGTGTGTTATATAAAATACATGATGTTGTTCAAATTAAAGACAAAAACAGAGAGCTTTGAAATGTGTGTTATATAAAATACATGATGTTCAAATTAAAGACAAAAACAGAGAGCTTTGAAATGTGTGTTATATAAAATACATGATGTTCAAATTAAAGACAAAAACAGAGAGCTTTGAAATGTGTGTTATATAAAATACATGATGTTTAAATTAAAGACAAAAACAGAGAGAGCTTTGAAATGTGTGTTATATAAAATACATGATGTTGTTCAAATTAAAGACAAAAACAGAGAGCTTTGAAATGTGTGTTATATAAAATACATGATGTTCAAATTAAAGACAAAAACAGAGAGCTTTGAAATGTGTGTTATATAAAATACATGATGTTGTTCAAATTAAAGACAAAAACAGAGAGCTTTGAAATGTGTGTTATATAAAATACATGATGTTCAAATTAAAGACAAAAACAGAGAGCTATATAAAATACATGATGTGTGTTATATAAAATACATGATGTTCAAATTAAAGACAAAAACAGAGAGCTTTGAAATGTGTGTTATATAAAATACATGATGTTGTTCAAATTAAAGACAAAAACAGAGAGCTTTGAAATGTGTGTTATATAAAATACATGATGTTGTTCAAATTAAAGACAAAAACAGAGAGCTTTGAAATGTGTGTTATATAAAATACATGATGTTGTTCAAATTAAAGACAAAAACAGAGAGCTTTGAAATGTGTGTTATATAAAATACATGATGTTCAAATTAAAGACAAAAACAGAGAGCTTTGAAATGTGTGTTATATAAAATACATGATGTTGTTCAAATTAAAGACAAAAACAGAGAGCTTTGAAATGTGTGTTATATAAAATACATGATGTTCAAATTAAAGACAAAAACAGAGAGCTTTGAAATGTGTGTTATATAAAATACATGATGTTCAAATTAAAGACAAAAACAGAGAGCTTTGAAATGTGTGTTATATAAAATACATGATGTTCAAATTAAAGACAAAAACAGAGAGCTTTGAAATGTGTGTTATATAAAATACATGATGTTCAAATTAAAGACAAAAACAGAGAGCTTTGAAATGTGTGTTATATAAAATACATGATGTTCAAATTAAATACAAAAACAGAGAGCTTTGAAATGTGTGTTATATAAAATACATGATGATGTTCAAATTAAAGACAAAAACAGAGGACTTTGAAATGTGTGTTATATAAAATACATGATGCTGTTCAAATTAAAGACA